TAAGATAAGCTGTATAAGTAGTGTGTCTGGTTACCATATGTGAAACAGAATATTTCTTGTTTTTCTGTATCTTTGTGCAGTTTTAACTCCATGTTATGGTGAAATACTGCGTTGACTCATCTCTTTGTCATGAAAGTTGTTTAGTTGTTTTATTATTTTTTTCTGGGGTTTCTACACCTTGAAAAGAACATTAAAACCAGCCTTGAGAACAGGAGCTTCAACTGCCATAGAAACAAGATACGTTTGTGTATTATAATATTATTTCATGAAATCAATGACATAGTAATAACGTACTTGGAGAAACAGAAAAAGTGACAAAGTTGTGAAGATCAAAAAGGTGTAAATAAAAAAGAAATAATAATATATATTTTTTTTAAAGGCGCAACATATTTTTTTTCTATTTTCTGCTTCTATTCAGCAGTATGTGATTGAATTGAATTACTTGTGTTATTATTATTTGTTTTATGATTGTAATAATGTCATGGCTGAATAATAAAGAAAAAGAAAAAAGAAAAAAAGAAAAAAAAAGTCATTCCAAAACTAAAACACAAATTGACTGCTCTGGGTCCTGTAGTGTTAAACCAAATGTGTGGTCTTCAAGGACAATACAATCAGGACTTAAAGAGGGGATGGACAAAAGCTCAAACATGTTTAATGTAGCTTTAAAATTATGTAAATCTCTTTGGGTTGTTATAAAAGACTGTGTGAAGGTTTGATTGATGGGTTGCTTGAGTGATTTGAGAGGACCAAAGGGTCTCGAACTCAACGTCTAATTTGGTTTTATAATTATGATGAGGAGAAACTGTTCATTTCTTCTGCTGTCAAATATGTTTCATATTCGAGTTCAAGTCAATTGTCACAAAAAGGCTATCCATCACTTAGCATTACTTTCTCCCACTCAGATCAGAACTTTTGTCAATCATGAGTGTTATATATCAAACTGTTTCAACAACCATTATAATTACGTGAAGGACTGAAAACGCAGGAATGTAACATAAAAAAGATAATAATAAAAATAAAAGTCCAAGGTGAAAAACAAAGCCAAACAGAAACTGCGACGAAGACATGGAGAATAGATCAGCAACTAATGGGGATGAGCACATGGCCCATACAGACTCGCTTCTCAGCAATAAGATCTTGGGTTCGAATCCCGGTCAGAACAGGGCCTTTCTGAGTGGAGTTTGCATGTTCTCTCTGTGTCTGCGTAGGTTTTCTCCGGGTACTCTGGTTTCCCGGGTGCTCCTGTGGACTCACCAGCTGCCGGAGGATCAGTGAGGGGCTGGTGCTAAGTGTTCTGGGTGCAGCTCTGACTGACACCCCCTGACCCAGAAATGGATTAAGGGGAAGAAAATGGATGGATGAATGGACTCCGGTTTCCCCTACCACTAAAAACATGTACAATAGGTCTGGCATGCGCCTCCTGTACTGGCAACCCCGCTCCCATCTCTGTGTGGAGTGAGAGGACAAGTGCCCAAAAATAACAATTGTAAACCGCTTTGTGACTCTGGTTTGTGAAAGGCGGTATATAAATAAAGCTTACTTACTTACTACGGGTGAAACACATGAGGGCGGGGCAGACAATCCAAAAGAGGACCTGGACATGACTGGACTAAAACAAGTAAAACTAAAACAAAACTAGAAGAAATAAACTTACTTTGCACAAATAAGCATATACACTCTGACACTGCGTCTCTATTTCTGCTCAAGTCTGTCCGATATACTTTAAGAATACTATTGTTTCGTTACATCTCCTGTACATGTTGATGGATCTGACCGCAGTTCTTTCATGTCCCTTGTTTTCTGCACACGCACACACCGCCCAGACAGTCCACCCCATGTCTTTTATCTGAGTACCATTTGGAGGGAAGTCTCCGGATCATTCCAAGCACCGGGGATTCAGCTGACATTTCAAAGTACTCAAATACATCAACATCGTGTCAAGTACACACAGTACAAGCAGCGGCTTTGTCAGCACGCTGTCCCCCCTGAATTAAAACAAATACATGTTAGAGGCCTTTGTTTTTCAAGCACTATGTGAATCTGATGTTTTAAAGTAAATGACCTATATATGTATTTATTTGAATTCAGATTTATGCAGTTTTCCTGAAAATGTGATACAGGCTTCTTCTCTGACAATGTTCAAATCCAGGTTAAAACAGTTTTATTTAGGTGTGTTTTAGATAGTTTTTTTCCACTCTTTTTAATATACTGTGATTTTAATGGCTTGAGAGGACTGCTGTTGTAATTCAGGGCAATACAAAAAAAAGTTTAATTTAATGAAAAGTTATTATATCTTATTTTAATACATTGAGTTTGAGCCATACAAGACGACACCTCTATCCTTGTGCACTGAAACGCTGAGGAAGATATGGTCTGATGTGCTCAAGGTTTTATTTAACAACTCCACTTTTATGTGCCTGTTATTTATGTCATCTCATAACAGAGACTTTAGCATATGTCTTTTCCTATATTTTATGCATCTTATGTCAGGAGGGTCAACATATCCTTGGGGAGCGATACAATTGAAGAGGAGGGGTGTGTAAAAATGTGAATATAATTTCAATGGGAGTCAACCCAACGGTGCTGAGGCAACGGAAGAGCAGCGTGTCACTATGTAGTGTGTAAATTAGCCATAACAATATTGTCTATGAGGCAGAGGATGGAGAAAACACACTGTAATCTTTATATCCCCCATGTAAAGTGCTTTTCCTTTGCCTACAATCGCTCCCCATACTATAATTTCATGGTTCTCTCCACTCCGAAGCTTATTATACATTTCACAATAAGCACATTCCTTTGCCGTGCGGTCGACTGCGGCTACCCTCCTCCTGCCTAGTGTCCTCCCTAATGAACCTAAACGCATAACTCAACCCCATTACCTCCGCCACTCCTCCGACGCAACCCCGGTGACAAACACACTAATATCCATAAGCAGTTAAGTTGTTAGCGGCTTCGACCTTTAGTCTCGCAGCCATTCATGTGTTGGAAAATGAGCATTACTTCGCTAAACAGCCGGCACACTCGCATTAATCAAGTGGCATTGCAGCAGCGGCGTAGGGCGCGCAGTGTGACTTTGCAGCGGTAAAACAACATTAGGATCAGTGACTGCACACAGCGGTGGGTCTATAAAAGAAGTGGACTGGTTTAACTGAGAACCCAGCACAGTCTCTGCTGTTTTAGTGACAACATTTTTTATTGTGTTTATGATTTGAATTTGGAATTTGTAGCCCGTGGAAATTCAGTCTGGTAGGCTACCTGCTGCAGCCCATCCAAGCCGGCCTCTTTCACCCTCGGCCAATCACACAGCGCTGCCAACTTATGGCCATCAAGCCAGATGTTTAAAAGTGGAAACTTCCCAACAACTAACCCTTTTCCAACCTCACAAGGAGTTAGTTCTTGTGTCACTTCCGTCTACTCACACCTCTCAACCACCACCGCCCACCTCCTCCCGGAGCTTTGTGCGCACTCTCACAATGTCACTACTACGCCACCACCAGTACTTGGACCACATGCCACCACCAGGCCCTAGGTCTTACGCCACCACCAATACCTGGACCTTACGCCGCCACCTGTGCCTAGGTCCAGGGGGATTATAAGCGGCATACAAGGAATGATCTTCGGACAAAGTACCGCAGCCGGGGCCTAGGGTGCCAAAAAAACAAACTAATTCATTAATTTATTGTGTTTGTTTCTCTGTATTCTCTCCAGATTGAATTGCTGTTCGTAGTTTGTAGTGTGGTGAGGTTTCCCACAAAAGTTGTTCCCCCAAGGTTGGCTAAAGACTTGTATTATTGCTTGTATTATTAAAGATATGTAGGTTGTACGTCATAATTGCAAAGGGGTGTCAAACCGCTCCTCAAAGGCCCGATGTGGCCGCAGGATTTTGTTCCAACCAAGCAGGAGCACACGGAACTTCACCCATTTTCTAAAGTGAGTCCAGTGTTAACCTGGACTGTTTTTTTATTTTATGAAATTGTATATTTTGTCACCTGTCTTTCTCATGGTGAAAAGCTAGGTCCAAACTAGGTCCAAACAAGTTTATTAAGTTTGTCACATACACATTACATGCAGTGAAATTCTTAAGTCCCTCCAGCAGATGTTCAGTACAGTTTTTATAAGTACCTTACAACATCTGAATAATAACACATAAACAGAGTTTGGCCCGGTTTAGTAAAAAACTGCTGGGACAGGAACAACGGCAGCCAGCCTACCCAGCGCCATCTTGATCTACCCACTCTTATGTGTGCGGCAATGGTAATGCGCAACCAGGAATAGTGAATGTTGTTGCAGTGATATTAGGTTTAATAGGCAGACATGTGTGATGAGGATAAAGGCAGCTTGGGTTGAATGTATTCAGCCTTAAAACATGCAAACAGAAACTGTGCCATGTCAATAAACAATGACATGGCAGCATTATTGAGTTATGCACATGCCTGGTACAGTTCTATTCTATTCATTATATACGTCATATGCCGTGCCAAATGAGATTTACATACATAATGCATTTTTAACACACAGATCTAAGCCTTATGAGTATGTGCCTCTTCTCTGTCTTTTCTTCAGCTGACATTATTTATTCAGTTTGTTTGGCGGGAGTCAGTCGCAACGGCAGCCATGGCCTGCCAGACCTATCGAACTGTGGCATAATAGATGTAATACATCAATGCATTTGAGCTGAGAGCCTTTAATTAGGCCTTCCTGCTCGTTTCATCAATCCCCCTGGTGGCCTCCTGGGATCAGGGGGCGGGGCGGCTCCTGTGCTGCATGAGAATCACTCCGCTCCGATCCGTCTCTTCACTCTTGTAAGCTTTTTGTCCCTGAAAAATGACCCCCCCCCAGCCCCCCGCTCTTACACGGCCCACTGCCACTCAATGCTGAAAGGTGAAGCGATATGAAATGCTAATGCCCACCTGAATGTCAATAATTAAAAACATGTCGCCCTTCACAATTTTGGAAGCACCTTCACCAATCTCAATGTAGTGGCCCCTGGTGAGGAGGCAATGAGCTCTTTGTGCCTGTTACCTACAAACAACAGGCTGTGTTCTCAAGAGAAGAGATCACAGAACCTTTATCAAGTGAGTTGGAGTAGTGATGTTTATCCATACAGCACATTTTACGGACCAAGGTCACCCAAAGTGCTTTAAGGAGAAATATTATGGATGTCAATGAAGCACAACAGTGTAAACAGTTCACACATATTGGTGAAATAATTGTTTAAAATATAATTACTAAGTTGATTTACTTGTATTGAGACATCTCAGTTTCTCTCTCAGAGTGTGAGATTCCAAGTAAAACAATCAAGATTAAAAAAGATACATTTAACTGAAGGACTTTAGAGTAACTGTAACTATATCAGCTGCTGTCTATCAGTCCTGTTCTGCCATTGTATTTCCCAGTGTAGTTAAAGAGCTCATTTTTCCACACCAGGTTGTTGGAGTGGTCATCAAGATTCAATAGATTTAAGCTGTGCATGTACCAGTGCAACATACAATGTTAAGCCAACAACCTTATGCTTATAAGCTTAACATTTTATTATTTTACTCATTAAACATGATTAGAGAATCTGTAGATCTTTTAGAATGTCAAGGTAGTGGACCAAACATAAGGCAAGGACAAGAGTTGTAAAATCCTCTCAAATTTAAGTTGAACAAATGTAGTATAACAAAAATCCAAAGACTGACGGGGGATTTACACAGTAGGCGTAAACAGCGCGTACGCGTTTACTGCGCGCTCTCTGCGCGTAACATTTTTTTGGAGTATCTACACTGACCGTGCGCGCAGGTCCGCAGCTTCTGATGCTCTCCCTGTGTAGTCTATGGAGCAGTGTAGAGGACAGTACGAGCCAGAGGACTGATGTAGAGCAACACAAATCACATGCATGTGTTTGTCTTCATGGTCTCTGTGCGCTGGTTTGGCCAGACGCGAGACTTTATGAAAGAAAAAAAACGATGTCCAGAATCACTGTAAAACCTGCTGCTGCTCCTCCTGCTGATGTTTAGACACAAGTGCAGTGTGCGTGCAGATGTGATCTAAAGCCAAGGACCGCTAGAAAAATAAAGTTTTACATGAGATTTCAATGGGAGACGCGTTGGTGCGCGCACAAAATTAGAAATCCATCCTAAATTAGAGCGCAGCTTCGCGTCACATGTCCGTCATACGCGCGTATAACGCTAGAAGTGTAAAAATCATCATAGGTTAACATGGAAAAAAGTTACGCGCGTCTGCTGCGCGTATAACGCGTACGTGCTGTAACGCGTGATGTGTAAATTAGCAGTTAGGCCCAACTGAAGTAAATGCAACCTAACTGAACACCAAACCAAATCAACTCAGACAAGGTGTGGGTGGTGGCTGAAATACAGAAGCAGATAAAAACTGATGTACAATTAATCTATACCGTGGTGTCCCTTACCCTAACCCCCTCCGAGTCCTTGGGACAAGTGGACTCTCCCACTGTATGAAATGGCTTCCAGCCCCCCAGTCTTGTCTTTTGGCTGGCCCGACAAAAGTGATGTTTCGAAGGAAACTACATAAAGTGATGTGAAGACAAAATTACATCTAATAGATTTCAATCTAAATCTAACATTGCCGCTGAAGGCACACAGTCAGGAACAAAGAATGTAATCCTATATGTAAACAATGTTGCCAGGTTGGTGGATCAAATATCGAGGACTAATGTATGAAGTGTACTGCAACCTTAACTCAACATGAAAATTGCCTGCATTGATTTTTATTTGTTTGAACCTTCTTTTAGAATAAAAAATGGAAAAACATCCAAATGGGACCCACAGATTTGTTTGAAAATATGTTTGGCGTTTAAGATTTCACATTGAAGCCTTAAACCATCTGATATTCACTGACAAATTAATAATTGAAAACACACTGCTCACACAGAGGGAAAATTCAGACGTGTCTTGCTTTGGTGGTGAAAACAGCAGGTTGGCCCAAAGTGGTATGAATCATTGTGAGGCCTGGCTTGGTCTTGTGTATATTTAGTTGGCTCGGGTCAGACCTCCCACCCCTGGCACAGCTCAAGTGTCGTGTTAAATAAACTCCACCACGGCCCAACGCCGGTGGCCGAATGCAAATGCTACACCCTCCTGCTGATTCTGCCATTTTATGTTTTCTATTTAGCTCTACACATCACACATGATTCACAGCGATAGAAACTGACATTTAGCACAAGTTGTGAGCATAGTTCCTACAAGTGTGGGTCTTCAGAACTGCAGGATGCTCGTAATAGTGGTCATTCATTCTTTTCAACATATTTTGTATAATACCTACATCCTAACAGACAGAGTACTGAATCTATAGCCCACATGGTTCCTTGTTGATGCAGGAGGGTCAAGAAATGTCAAACTCCGGCCCATGAGACCATTTTCGGTGCAGTAACTTGAAGCATTGGATGGAAATTGGTTACCATGGCATAATAAACTTATAAACCATTCTAAAACGTTATGTTTTCTTAAGTTAAATGAGTAGTTATTATCCTGCAAATACATCTCATCGTTTTTGTGCCCAGTTATGGTTGAATCCAAACCTCCCAGAAATGAATATACAAACTTATGTCAAACAATACTTTTGGCCCCCGACCAGCTCTTATGTTTTTATATTTGGCCCTGAACCAAAATGAGTTCGACAACCATGGTCTAAGGACAGTGATGCCTCAGGACATGTGTTAATATGTATGGTCTCGGATGACTATACAAAGTTATTGATTCACCAACAACAGATGAGAGAACACCAGAAATACACTAATAACAAACACCTAAGAATCAATGGTCCATACGGAGCAAGATGACTTCTGCCCATAAATGTTAATACATGTCCTTTAATCATCACTGTCCTTAGACCCTTCTGCATCGGCAAGGGATTTCTTTACACACACATACACAGTGGGGAAAGAAGTGAGAAACCTAGGGATCTATCAACAATCCAACAAACAGTTAAGGCCCGGCATAAATTCATCAGAAAACAATTTGAATTGAAATAGCCTTTCCCAAAACATGTGAATAAAACAGAACTCAGAGAAAACATGACTCATAAAGGAATGATACTGCAAGAATGTAGTCACTTTTGACAAACAGCCTTCCTCAACCGCAGCAGATATACAAGAATGACAATATTTTACTTTTGTACAGTCTCAATTCACAACAGTAGTCATTTCGAAGGACAAGCATTTAAAACATATGTCAGAAGGAATTAACCAAATGGATAAGAATATCATAATAATAATAGTGTGACGTCGATCCTTTTATCTCTCCTACTGTTGGAGCCAGTTTCCTATGTTTTCCTTTGCTGCCTCCTGCCACTGTGTGGCGCCACCTCGATAGTATGCCCTATATAAGTGGGGCACTAATGAAAGACAGGTGTTGTAGTGTGGAGGCAAACATCTTTCGACCGTTGTTTGTTACCACAGCTTTATATTTGTGTACTTGGCAATAATAAAGGATTGTAGAACACAGTATTTTGCTCTATTTGGATGGTGAGAGACACGCGTCCTAGACGCCAACACACTGCATCCAGCGGACCTTGCACAGGGCAAGTTTTGGCCGCTACATTGTCGAAAGATGTCCTCAGGTACCGTCTGGGCGTGAAGATTGCGTCAGCTGTGATTGGCACAGCGCGGTTTCCTGGAGAGGAGTGGACCCACGACTACCGTGGCGGTGACTCGTTGCCATAGGGGCGCGGCGAACCGGCGGACTGTCGGCGGGAAGGAGGAAAGGGCAAAAACACCGGAGAGAGCACCGGCGTCCCCCACCACCAGCGCGGGCGAGGGAAGACTCGGCGCGCAAACTGTCCTGCAGCGGAGTGGCCCGCGGAGGAGCTCGGCACCGCGTTTGGAGAAGGCTACGCGTGGTGACCAGTTCTGATTTCTGTGTGCGACATAATTCCGCACAGACTACAAGTTTAGGAGCGGTACATGGACTGTGAGGTGGACACTGTAAAAAGGAACACTGTAAAAAATGTGCACCAGGGATTTGAACAAAACTGACAAAAAAGAGAGAGCTTCAGCTGCTGCAGCTTTGGTTAAAATAAAAGCTAAGCAAGCTACGCTTCTAGTTAAAATGTCATTTTTGGAAGAGAAATATGAACTGGAAGCAAAGCAACTAGCCATTAAGAGACAATTGGAAGAGCTGGAATATCAAACTAAAATGACTGAAGTGACAGCTAAACTTGCAGTGTTGAATGCCTCAAAGAAGCATCGGCATAAAAATAAATCTCTTCCAATAGAGCCTAGGGTGCTAAGACAAGTTCCAACCACAACTGTCCCTGCAGTTATAAAAGAAACTAGGACTGATGATGACTGGGATGGATTTAACTGGGAGCCACCAGTTTATGCACCCACTTTGGTGGGTTCACTTGAGCCAACTGGGACCGCTGATGACTGGGATGGATTTGACTGGGAGCCACCAGTTTACATTCCCACTTTGGTGGATGCGCTTGAGCCAACAGGGGCCGGTAGTGCCACACAAATGGCTGATGTGAACTGTTCATCTTCACCAGACCGTCAGGAGGACTTTGAGATTTCCCTTATGGACCATGAGCGAACAGTGACATTGGATTTGGACACTGAGACATGCTCGTGGAAAAAGATGGACAGTACAGAGGATGAAGAGCAGGAAACTTCTGCTGTTCCTGTCTTATTGACTGCCTTGCAGCCTGTAGTGGGAGGCCTGCTGCAGCAGAAGCTGGCCTGCAGTGGCCCAGACATGGTCACACCAGGCCACACCAGGATTTTTCCACTGCCACAGTGGCGTAGTAAAAGCAAGCACAACAATGCTTTTGTAAGAAACACTCATTTTGATTTTGTTGTTCTTGTGAACTGTCTTTGGATTCTGTATGTGCTTTCAGCCAGCAAAATGTTTAAGCTAAAGTTGCGCAAAGCTTTCAAAAGAAAGCGCTGGAAATAGTTTTGAATAATGAAACTTAACAGGATGGATATTAAATGCCAAATGTATTTTCTGTGTATTGAACAATGACTTTGAATATGTGGACATAGAAATGTTGTGTTTTTTGAAAAATGTGTTCTCAATGTGACGAACTTTCTAAGTCAAAGTATGGCTCCATGTTTATTAGAATTTTTAATTGTTTAGCTCCTGGCTCTCACAATTAAGGGGCCGGTGTGTTGGAGCCAGTTTCCTATGTTTTCCTTTGCTGCCTCCTGCCACTGTGTGGCGCCACCTCGATAGTATGCCCTATATAAGTGGGGCACTAATGAAAGACAGGTGTTGTAGTGTGGAGGCAAACATCTTTCGACCGTTGTTTGTTACCACAGCTTTATATTTGTGTACTTGGCAATAATAAAGGATTGTAGAACACAGTATTTTGCTCTATTTGGATGGTGAGAGACACGCGTCCTAGACGCCAACACACTGCATCCAGCGGACCTTGCACAGGGCAAGTTTTGGCCGCTACACCTACTTTACTGTCATTATTATACAATTATTATAAAGATGAAACTGGGAAAATCTAAATATTGTTTGATTTATTGCAATTTTGATGATCATGGCGGTCCTTACAGTCCATTGTCCATTTTTCAAATACTCTAATTCTGTATAGTTTTATTTGTATTTTTTACAAGCCGTGAGCCAGTTGTCAACATTAAAACAAATAAAGGCTGCATATATGTCACTTCTGGCATGTATTAGTTTCACTTTGTCAGTTGAATTGCTCCTAGTTTCACCTTTACAATATTACCCCTTTCCCACTAAACATCCGATGTCCACTCAACCTCCAGATCACGTCAATATCGCGTCGGTCGGTCGTGACCTTTTATTTACGTCCAAACGACATCTGTGCAAGGTGCGCATCTGGACGTAAAACAATGACCTCCCATATACGTGGATATGACGTTCAATCCCGACCTCCCCTAGACGTCAAAAACAGGTCATTCACCCACAGCAAGAGGGCACACTCTAGACCTGTTATGTAATGTAAACGTGGTCTGAAGTTGCTCTTTCGGATTCATTTTCTGTGTTTTTTTTGACATGTGTTTCACTAACAAACCACCATGGAACTCCGCAACTGTACGAAGAAGACCATAAATGAAAATACGGTGAACTATTTATGGGAATGATAAACTTTGAGAATGCGTCGTATTCTACTGTAGATGACTGTTTACATCTGTCACCTCTAGTTTTTGAAGTTCTGGACAACCAATCGCTCCTGTGAAGGTTAAATAGTGAAAAATAAGCAGAAGGCGCCGTGGGCTAAAGCAGACTCGTTCAGGGCACAAAAGAGAGAGTGCCGAGGTCCGAGCGAAGTGGCGCAAGTCCAACCCCAGGTGATTACAAGAAGCTCAAAGATACGTTGTGCGAGTTTAACCAGGTGCTACGAGTACGAGAGAAGGAAATTTTTTCTGAATGAATGAAGGCTGCAAGCAACAATCTGTTTGTTTATGTTTTCAATAGTAATAGATTAACAAACCCCCCTGTTTCAAATGCCATTCAGAGCAACTTACCAAACGTAAATGTATGATTTGCACATTTTTTTATCAATGACAAGGTTCAAGGCATCACAAACGCCATTGTCTCCAATCCACAATAACAATCCAACAGCCAGAAAGGCTCTTTGAGCTAACCTTACTTTGCACCTGTAAATGATAAAACTGTCCAAGAGATAATCTCCAGTTTGAGCTCCTCCACATGCAGCTGGATGTACTACCCACTAGATTTCTAAGTCTGTTCTGAGCAGTCTGTTACCTTCACTCACACAGATAGTAAACATGTCCCTTAATTCTGAATATTCCCAAAGGCCCTGAAAACTGCAGTCATCAGGCCCCTGCTAAAAAAGAGCAGTCTGGATGCCACGTACTTAACAACTATCGTCCCATCTCAAATCTGCCATTTATGGGGAAAGTCCTTGAAAAAGTTGTCTACCTACAGCTTACTAGATTTCTTATAATCAACAACTCATTTGATATGTTTCAGTCCGGCTTTAGACCCCACCACAGCACTGAGACTGCTCTCGTTAAGGTTACAAACGATATCCGGCTGAACACTGACGCAGGCAAAGTCTCAATCTAATCTGTTAGATCTAAGTTCTGCCTTTGACACTGTCGACCATGAGATCCTCTTACAGAGACTAGAGACTGGGTTGGCGTCGCTGGCACCGCCCTAAGTTGGTTTAGGTCTTACCTTGAAGACAGGAAGTACTTTGTGGAGATTGGAAACTGTGTCTCAGATCATATGGCCCTGACCTGTGGAGTCCCACAGGGGTCGATCCTGGGACCTCTTCTGTTCAATCTCTACATGCTGCCGTTAGGTCAGTTAATACGCAGAAACAAAGTGTCCTATCACAACTATGCAGACGACACTCAGATCTATGTCTCACTGACTGCAGGAGAACATGGACCATGGACTCACTCCTTCACTGTATCCAACAGATCAGTGAGTGGATGCAAAACAACTTCCTTCAGCTAAACGCAGACAAAACTGAAATGATTGTCTTTGGTCCCCAGAAACAAAGAGAGAGCGTCATCTGTCACCTACAGTCTCTCTCTCTCCCTAAAACCTTCAAACAAGGTCAGAAATCTAGGGGTAATACTGGACTCAGACTTAAATTTTAATAGCCACATCAAATCAGTAACATCAGCAGCTTTTTACCATCTAAAAAACATTGCCAGGATCAAAAAACATAGTGTCTAAAGCAGACTTGGAGATTCTTATCCATGCATTTGTCTCCAGTAGGTTAGACTACTGCAATGGCCTGCAAAAGTAACTCACAACTCCACGATTCAAGAAGAACTCAACACCTCCAAGGTTCCAAAAGAACTCAGACACCTCCACGGCTTCGAAAGAGCTCAACGCCCTCCACCCCCAGCATCATCAGCAGCTGACACATCTTCATCTGCGACCATCCGCATATACAGCACCACCAGCCAGCAGTGGATACAGCCGCAGCAGTGGGCTGCTCCATCATCTTCAGCAGCAGCAGTGGATACAGCAGCCAGCAGTGGCTGCTCCATCATCTTCAGCAGCAGCTGTGGATACAGCCGCAGCAGTGGCTGCTCCATCTTCTTCAGCAGCATGCAGTGGCTGCTCCATCATCTTCACCAGCAGCAGTGGATTCAGCAGCAGCAGTGGCTGCTCCATAATCTTCAGCAGCAGCAGTGGCTACAGCTCCAGTGGCTGCTCCATCATCTTCAGCAGCAGCAGTGATGCTCCATCAATCTTCCGGCAAGCACCTTACCCAGCTACCATGCTCGTGAAGCTTTCCCCATTACTCCAGGCTACAGTCTGGCCTGTACTGGGGGTTCCTCAACCACCTCTGTCTCCACCAAAGACTCCCTCATCACCTTCCATGGACCCGGCTTGGGTCCCCCCCGCTACATCCACTCCCATCTAGGGAAAATGAGGACGACCTTTCCCTTTGTTTTCCTATCCCCGCCTTCACTACTGGATTTACCGGAACACATCTGCAGGCATGAATAAGATCGGCGATGAAGACTATTCCTCTCACACCCACTGTAGCCAGATCAAGAGTCCTATCTAACATTCAAAACTACTCCCCATACGTACCTCCAAAGCCACCTAGGGCGTCCAACTCAAATTCTCCCACAAAATCCACCCGTCCCTCCTCTAACCCCATAAGTATTCCACCCCCCCCTCCTGCTCATTTAGCCCACCTCCCCCCCCCCCCTAACTCAGCACCAAGAAACCCTCCACCTCCACTCCCCCCTCGTCCACCACCCAACTCAGCCTGCCCCTCCCCTAACCCATCACCAAAAACCCATCCACCTCCCTGCCCCCCTCGTTCAACACCCAAAAGCCACCCGCCTCTCCATCCTCCTCCCCCGCCTTCCCCTACCCCTCTTTTCTCTAAACACTAGGATGCACAGGGTCTCTGCTTCGCAGCCAC